GAATGTGTCCAGAGGAGGGCGACTAAAATGATCAAGGGTCTGGAGAACAAGCCCTATGAGGAGCGGCTTAAGGAGCTGGGCATGTTTAACCTGAAGAAGAGAAGGCTGAGAGGAGACATGATAGCCATGTATAAATATGTGAGAGGAAGCCACAGGGAGGAGGGAGCAAGCTTGTTTTTTGCCTCCCTGGAGACTAGGACACGAAACAATGGCTTCAAACTCCAAGAGAGGAGATTCCATCTGAACATGAGGAAGAACTTCCTGACTGTGAGAGCCGTTCAGCAGTGGAACTCTCTGCCCCAGAGTGTGGTGGAGGCTCCTTCTTTGGAAGCTTTTAAACAGAGGCTGGATGGCCATCTGTCAGGGGTGATTTGAATGCAATATTCCTGCTTCTTGGCAGGGGGTTGGACTGGATGGCCCATGAGGTCTCTTCCAACTCTTTGATTCTATGATTCTATGACAAAAACCTCTGCATTGTTTTAGATCCAGCTCCATGATCTGCTGAACTTGTCAACTAACAAATCGTGCTTGAGTTAGTTTCCTCCTTCTTCCTTTCCTTCCCTTTTTCTTGTATGTTATATCTCTAAAATAGGAAGCCTGAACGGTAAGCAAGGACTGTCATTACCACTTTTCCTGCTGAAAAGCTACATTTAAAAATGCATTAACTAATAAATAAATATGCCCTTGCAATATAGTGGAGTACTTTGGACTGGCTCTGATTAATAGCCCAATGACACGGATAGAGTGCGTTCCTCTTCTTGCTCCACTTTCCTGTTCCCTGTGCTAGTGATTAACAGGAAATTAAAGTAGATGGACTATGGATTTTCTGCATCTGGGTCATACTGAACTGGGAGGGCATTTTCCTCTGTTGGCCAGATTAGCAGTAGCTCCTAAATATAGGGATTAAGCCAAATGATTTTTACATTGCCTACAACATTTTATTTTGCTTCAGTTGTCCAGACCATCAAGTAAACAACAGGAAGTCTCATCTTTTCTTTTAGTCCCCTACCAAGGCATATCATTTTGAGAAAAACAAGTTTGTGGATCTAATAGCGTTGTTTTGGTGTGGTTCATGGCGTAGGACCTAGACTTTAGACCTGTTTCAAAATTACAAGGATATCTTCTTTCATATTTATAATAAAATCAAGAACAGCAGTGACATATTTCTAGCACAAGTGGTTTTGAAGAAATTGATGCGACATTGATGTGCATGCAATCCAGATATCCAGGTGATCAAGTAGCGGTGAGACCATCTCTGTAATAATAATCATCATCATCATCAACAACTTTATTTATATCCCGCCACTATCTCCCCAAAAGGGACTCAGGGCAGCCAATGGAGCTCCTTAAACAGGGAGGTTGACCGCTTCCTGTAAGTTGTTCCAGTTAGTAACCTGGCTGCCACCCGTTGGACCAATTGAAATTTCCGAGCCATCTGGAAGGGCAGCCCCACAAAGAGTGCATTGCAGTAATCCAATCTGGAAGTGATTAAGGCATAGACCACCATGGCCAGATCCGACTTCACAAGGCACGGTCACAGCTGGCGCACGGGTTTTAGTTGTGCGAAGGCCCTCCCAGCCACCGCCAACACCTGGGCTTCAAGGACACACAAGCTGTGGACCTGTGACTTCAGGGGGAGTGCAACCCCATTGAGCACAGGTTGCCACCCTATACCCCAATCTGGCTTACGATTGACCTGGAGGACCTCTGTCTTGTCGGGATTGATCCTCAGCTTATTCATTCTCATCCATACCTATCAACTGGCCCTTTACAGTGACTGCACTCATATCTACTACCTTAATATTCTTTATGCCCCATATTATCGCTGGCCCCGTCTTATGACTCTTTCAGCTATAGTCTAGGCTGTACTATGTCATACCTAAGCAGGAAGCAAAAAAAAGAGTCTCTCTTGGAATGACAATAACCATACGTCACTCTAGGTGAAGGTGGATCTAAGGTTGAATTTGTTGCTAATATTTACCGGGCTTTTGCTCAAGCAGTTACAAACATCATTCAGGGTAGAGAGGAAATTAACAGCCCTTGATGCAAACTGAATGGAGCCATGAAGGCTTTAGGTTCTGTATATATAACAAGGCAATTGTTCATTCTGCCTAAATATCCTAAAGACACCAGATCCCATCTGGTCTTGGAAGCTAAGCCCCAATTAGTGCTTGGAAAGGAGATTGACAAGGAATACTAGACATTGTAGTTTACATTTCAGAGGAAGAAAATGGCAAAATAATCTCTGAGAATTCCTTAACAGAAAATCCTATGGAATTCATGGGGTTGCAACAAGTTGAAAGGCAACTTGAAGGCATATACATAAAGTAAAGTGCCATGCAATAGTGAGTCTCTGGGTGTTTCGTGAGCATGAAGTTTATTTTTTTTCTATGCAGAGGAATACTCAGCTAAATGAACCCCCTTGATTTTTAAAATCAATGATGACAGTCAGATTGGTTTATTACTTCAATGAATCCACAACTAGATCCATTGTTTATAAATCCCAATAGCTGAGGATATAAAGCTCACAATTCTAGGTGCTCCAAATATAACATTTTGTACTTATCATCAAAATAGTTTTTTCTTGCTGTTCAGATAATTTCATTCCAAATACTATTTTTACTGGAATGGAAACATTGATATGGGGGCAATTTTATTACCTTTCAAGAAATGATTCCTCCAGGCAGTAAGAAGCCACACCTTGAAACTGCTAGGCCATTAAATGCTAATCAAGGTGGCCAATTTACATATTCACACCTACCTCCAACAGACAAGAATTCTTTCTCTCACCCTGGGCATTCCACAGATATAAAACCCCCATTTTCCTAGTGTGCCGTCGCGCTTGGGGGCTATTATTCTTAATGAAGGAGGGATGGACGTGGCATCTTTTCCCCAAGGGATTGCTTCTTGACCTCCTATAGGAAACTGGAACTCCCAAAACCCCAAAATGCTGTAAATAACTCAAAATAAGTTTTATTTATCACAAAGTCATTTCTTTAAAGCAATGAGCTGGAAAACTTTAGAGGGGTGAAGGAAAACATATGTTACAGTCTCAATTAGTCCTGGGTCCAAGGGGTTTGAAGCTGAGAAGCCTCACCAAGTTTCCTCTTTCCTCAATGGTTGTGAATGCCAGAGCAAACCACAACCCCAGTTCAGATGGCCTATGTTTTGAAGACTCAGGATCTTCCTTTGGTGCAAAAAAAAAACGGTTTGAAGGCGCTTGGGTCTCCTCAATAATTGTCCAGGACGATCTGGACATAAAGCATGAGTCCCAAGGGTAAAAAACCTCAGAACTGGTGCTAAGAGGTAACTTAAATCTGGGTCCTTTAGAGTCAAATCTCTTGCTCACGTCCATCTGGTACAAGCTCTGATGGTAGAATGAAAAAGAAAGGAAGCTCTCCCCTCCTGCAGGAAGAGGTGGAGCCAAACAGTACTGATTGACAGCTACAAGCAACTAATCCATACAACTATACATAGGGTAAAAGGGGCAGGATTAAGCATGATACAACAGTTTAAATCTTGCAACTAACAGTTCTATACATAGGTGGCGCCACTCGCACAGTAACACCTAGTTTCCAACAGACCTCACAACCTCTTCGGAGGCTACCATAGATGCAGCTGAAATGTCAGGAGAGAATGCTTCTGGACAATGGCCATACAGCCTGAAAAACTTACAACACCCCATGAAATCCTTAAACAATACAGTTTTATAACTATTTTATTTTAAACAAAGGCACACTGTTTACATAGCTAGTTCAAGGTCTTCCTGAGAACTCACAATGCATAACATTTAATAAAACAGAATAAAAGCTGCACAACTAATTAAAATACAGAATTACTGCTTTCTAACCTAACCTTGATTCCTTCTGAGCAGCAATGCCTTACATAACTCCCAAAATGTATGAACCTTTCTGATACAACTAAGAAGTGCTTTCTAGGAGGTTAGGGAGACACTTACAAATGGTTGAAGAAGAGAAGCGTCACCAGAAAGAGCGAGAACAAAATATAGCACAGATTTGCAAATGCCAATGGACACAAAACACAATGGATATATGTATGCGTGTGCAGGTACAGCTGTACCAGGAGCTCCAATTTTGTTTGCTTTGCATTGAATGTTTGTTGTAGTCCTAAGTTTCAGGGACTCTGCAGATAGGTGGCTTCTTTTGGCTGCAATCATAGGGCAAGCCACCTGTCAATTATAGTTAGGTTCCCTGGTCCCGCCCCCTTTTTGGGTTTTGGAGAGAATAGGAGCCAGTTTGGGTTGAGTCCACACAGAGAAGCCTTTCATGCAGGACATAATACCAAGAGCTCCTGTAGAAAGCTTCGTCTTTTACAGCTTGGCCGGGGAGATACAGCCCCACGGCTTGGCCGGGGAGATATACAGCCTACAGCTTGACCGGGGTTATACAGCCCTACAGCTCCTTTGCTGAAGGACTTCAGTCAGCCATCACGGAAACCTGAACTCCTTCTCCCCTGGAAGTCTACAAAGCTCTGCTTGGTAAGGGTCACTCGYGGAAGCTAGAAGGAGTTGGTACTGGGTGTAGGGGCTCCACGCTAACAGAGGCAAAGACAGACTGCCCAGATTAGAAGTTAAGGATTTCCCCATTYGTTACAGTTTATGAAGATAGTGCCTGTTCCCTGTGGACAAGATTGAGAGARAGCCAATAGGCCTTTAATCTGAGGCAGCCCCAATGTCCCGTTGGGCACACAGAATTTATGTCCTGTCTACAGTCTTATGCACAGGCCCAGCGTGCGACAGCACAATGCGTATGCATATAATGTGTWTATAATGGATATACATTATACTATAGTGGAAAAGAATGTAAACAGGTGGCTTGTGCATAGTATTTGAAGCAATTTCAAGAGCTGAGTTCTCTTTATCTATGGTTATTTATCTTTAAGTTGGAGTTGGACCAGGTGGTCTTTCAAACAGAAGAGTGTCCCATGTGAAACTGAACGTGTGGCAATCGTAGGAAGATTAAAGCAATTGAATTGAATACCTGAAAAAAGCATAGATGACTAGGAGGTTACCAAAAGTTCCTGTGATTCCCACTACAAGAATGACAACCCCAATGGTATAGTGAGCATGGGTTGGTACATCCACCGTTGGGAAAGGATCAGGGAGGTTCAGCATTGTCCGGTCCTACAAGCAAAAGAGAATGGCAAAAGTTCACAAACAGATAGGTCTCCTTTTTTAAGTACAGACATGCCAACCATCTTAGAGAGAAAGAATGGCATCAAAACAGGGATGAAACAAAGATTTCAAATTAATCCATCCATTATAAAATTCTATTTATTTTAGGTCAGCTTTTGAACACAAACATTATAGCTATGGTCAAAACACTCAGAGCCAAGGGTTATTTTTGTTTGCATTTTCAGTTTAATGAGAGTTTGCGAAAAAAGATAAACCAAAACAGTGATTCTTAACCTTTCAGAGAGGTCATGAATCTATTTGAAAAACCGGTGAAAACTATGGATACTTTGTGTCCCCCCCAAAACACATATTTAAAAACAAATTTCAGAGTAAGAAAAAGGATTTTTCCCCTTATTTCATTGGTCCTCTAAAGCCTAAACACAAAGACTCTAGAGCAGCGTTTCTCAATGTGGGGGTCGGGACCCCATTGAGGGTTGCGAGAGGGTGTCAGAGGGGTCACCAAAGACCATCAGAAAACACAGTACTTTCTGATGGTCATGAGGGTACTATGTGGGAAGTATGGCCCAATTCTATCTTTGGTGGGGTTCGAATGCTCTTTGATTGTAGGTGAACTATGAATCCCAGCAACTGCAACTTTCAAATGTCAAGGTCTATTGTCCCCAAATTACACCAGTGTTCCCATTTGGGCATATTGAGTATTCGTGCCAAGTTTGGTCCAGATCCAATGCCCACCAAACCCTTCCAGTATTTTCTGTTGCTCATGGGAATTCTGTGTGCCAAGTTTGGTTCAATTCCATTGTTGGTAGAGTTCAGAATGCTCTTTGATTGTAGGTGAACTATGAATCCCAGCAACTGCAACTCCCAAATGTCAATGTCTCTTTTCCCCAAACTCCACCAGTATTCACATTTGGGCACAAGTTTGGTCCAGATCCATCATTGTTTGAGTCCACAGTGCTCTCTGAATGTAGGTGAACTACAACTCCAAAATTCAAGGTCAATGCCCACCAAACCCTTCCAGTATTTTCTGTTGGTTCTCTGTGACAAGTTTAGTTCAGTTCCATCATTGGTGGAGTTCAGAATGCTCTTTGATTGTAGGTGAACTATAAATCCCAGTTACTACAACTCCCAAATGACAAAAATAAATCCCCTCCCAACCCTAACAGTATTCAAATTTGGGTATATCGAGTATTTGTGCCAAATTTGGTCCATGGAATGAAAATACATCTTGCATATCAGATATTTACATGACGATTCATAACAGAAGCAAAATTAGAATTATGAAGTAGCAACAAAAATAGTTTTATGGTTGGGGGTCACCACCACGTGAGGAACTGGATTAAAGGGTCGCGGCATTAGGAAGGTTGAGAAGCACTGCTCTAGAGGTCCATGGGTCACAGGTTAATATATCCCTAAACTACAAATTTCAGCTTTAATATAAGGGCTTTACAATCCATCCAAAATCATAAGAATTTCACTTTGGCAAGAACATTTTGTTAGGATTTGGTCCCTTGCCCACCTTCCAGTTTTCCATAGGAGCCTCTGGAGAGAAAGAATGAATAAACAGAACAGTTTTCAGAATAGATAATTTCTAAGGAATAATAATAATATTATAATAAACTTTATTTATACCCCGCCACCACCTCCCCAAGGGACTCAGGGTGGCTTACAAGAGACCAAGCCCAGCAATACAGTAAAACAATATACAACAGAACACAGCAAAAATAAAATAAAATAAAATACAAACCCATTTTAAACATATCAACAATATAAAATCACAACATTTAGAACATAGAAATTGATCACATTGGGCGGGCCGATTTGAATAGACTAAAAATTTAAAACACTGGTGAGACAGCAATGTAATGTGTCTGGACAGGGGATCCAAGAGGTAGAGTAAGGTGTGATTGCACTAACAGGTAAAATAAAGTGCTACCGAGGGCCATTTTACAGAGGTAGGTCATGTCAAAGTATTATTGTTCATTCATCCATTGAAGGCACACTGGAACAGCCAGGTTTTCAAGCTCTTCTTGAAGACTGCCAGGGTAGGGGCTTGTCTAATATCTCTGGGGAGCGAGTTCCAGAGTCAGGGGGGCCACCACAGAGAAGGCCCTCTCCATCGTCCCCACAAGTCGCGTTTGCGATGAGGGCGGGAGCAAGAGAAGGACCTCTCAGGAAGATCTAAGAGATTGTGTAGGTTCATAAACAGAAATGTGGTCATGCAGGCAGGTAGGTCCCAACTTTGTAAGTAAGAATCTGCACCTTGAATTGGGACTGGAAAATGAATAGCAGCCAATGGAGCTCCTTGAACAGGGGAGTTGACTGCTCCCTGTAATTTGCTCCTCTTAGTAGTCTGGCCACTGCTTGTTGGACCAACTGAAATTTCCGGGCCGTCTTCAAGGGCAGCCCCACATAAAGCACATTGCAATAGTCAAATCTGGAGGTAACTAAGGTGTGGACCACCACGGCCAGATCCGATTTCATGAGTTATGGTCACAATAGCACCTAAGCTTCAGTTGTGCAAAAGCCCCCCCCCCCCCCCCCCCAGTCACCACCGATGCCTGCACTTCAAGGCTTTAGTTAATATTCAATATGTGCAGGCCTGTATTTATGTGATAGTAACAAGAGTCTTTGTCATCATCATCATATGTACCAAGACAAGCTGTGCCAAAAAAATGTAAGTATTTTAGGTAATTGAGATCAAATTGCACATACTTTCTTGGTTTACTATTACTATTTTCAATTAAAGGTGGCAGAAAACAAGTGAGGCAAGGCATGGAAACATTGATGCTCCTGCCAGACATGCTACTTAATTACTTCTCTGGTTCCTTAGACTTCTGAACATATTGTCCACTTATTTTTTTTTTTTAAAAAAAACATATGATTGGATCCACAGGAGCTAGAAACTTACTTTCAGAATGAAAACAAAGCTAGCATTTTCAGAGAAATGAGGGCTGAGTTCAGTTCCGTACCATTTATGAATGCTTATTGGTTTGTGATAGAGGGCATGATTTGCATTGGGAAAGTCTCATGTTTTTCCCAAGGTATTTCTGGTAATACAGGAAGGCAATCTTTTTTTTCTTTTTTTTTTTTTTAGATTTCTATCTTTTTTACTTCTAGGGCTTGGGGGATGTTACTACAATTTCCAGGGTTTTTTTTTATTTGGCACAAACAATCTCATATATAGTCAGAAAACATACATTCAAAATAATGAAACGTGTCTAGATCTGTATGCAGGTGGCAACTTGTACAAAATAAGTATAACATACTTTACCATTCACTCAAGTTTAAGGCATTTTCAATGGAAAATTCATGCAAACTATTCCTAACTAGAACTGTTTCCATCTAGATAACAGCAATAGTGCTATGAAGGCAATCTTGAGTTAGTTTGACTAATGATCTGGCTGAGAATAAGCCTGGTCCTAATGTTCTGAGGTCCCCCTCCATACCTCTCCCTGTTGTTCTTCTGGTTGTTGTTGTTTTAGTTGTCCTCATGCCCCCCAGTCCTCCTCCTCCTCCTTCTGTGCCTTCAAGTTGACCCTGACTTATGGCAACCCTATTCTAGACTTTCTCTGCAGGATTTGTTCAGATGGACTTTGCCTTTATCTTGCTCTGGTACTGAGGATGTTTGCCTTGCACCAGGTCATCCAGTGATAACCAAGCAGACATTCAGATCCAGGCCTCCTAAAGCTCTTGTCAAACACTCACATTCCATTATACCAAGCTGGCACTTCAAGCACTTTTTCTTTCTGTTCACTTTCAATATTAAAACAGATAGTGAGGAGTACTTGAAAGAAGCAAACAGCGGCAAGAGGTCAGATTTTTGCTTTTTTCTCTAGCATGCACCTTTATGAATAACAGATGATTCCAGTTATGTAGTCATCATAATCATCATCATCATCTTTATATCCTACTTTTGGACAAAATTGGGACTCAGGAAGGCTTACAAATCACAATTATATGCAGTTGGTTGTCATTAAGTTGCCACTAGGGGGTATAAAAGAAATGTCTTGAATATATATTTTCCAAAGAAGACACGTTTACATCTCTAGAGAGGACAAAGTGCATCTTTGCCCCAGAAAAATAATGTGTTGCCAAGTTTTGGTGAATGCAAACAAGGCACACAAAATGTCTGAAAACACACATACAAAACTCAGCACATTTGAAAAATGTATGAAAAGCACATTAGTCAATTGGTAAATTGCATTCAAAACATCCTATATATTAGGAAAAAAAATGTAAATAAGAATTTCCATGCAGGAAGTGGAGAGGGAAAAATCTAATACAGAATGGGGACAAGATGAGAATGCTAGATGGATACTGCAAAATGCAAGAGGAAAAAATGGAAGGGTTTTCATTTCCCTAAGTTATTTAGGTGCATGCCTAATCTGACAGTGAGAAAACGTATTCAGTTATTATTCAGTTCCCAACTGTGCTCATTATTCAGCTTCTTTTTGCTGACCATTGGCAATTTGTTAAACACTTAACTCTTTTTCAAAAAGAATTAAAAGTGAGGAATGCAGTGGGGTTTTTTTTACACTGATAGTGCTATGTACAGCCAGAATTTTGTAGCAGTTTGAGTGTTAGACTACAAATCTGGAGAGCAGGGTTCAAATCCCTGCTTAGCCATGGAAAACCACTGGGTGACCAAGGGCAAGACGAATAGTCTCCCAGCCTTAGTGGAAGAAAAAGTCAAACCCACCTCAGAACAAACCTTGCCAAGAAAACCCTGTTATAATTTCACGTAATAATAATAATAATAATAATAATAATAATACGAGGGGTATTTTAAGTAAGGTCCATTGGAACATAAGTACACAACGAAAGTTTATTTCCAAAAAGTAAATTTATTTTCAGAAAGTACATACTTCACTCTATTTTTTGACATAGTTGCCAAGTTTGTTCAAACACTTATCATACCTCTGAACCAATGTTAAAATACCCTCTTCATAAATCCTCACTTTAACTGAAGCCACCAAATCGTCTGTAAT